AATATTTTTTTTTTTATGCAGAGAAATTGAGCCATGGGCATGCTGAACGATTTCGGAAAGCTAGATCAGCTTGACTGTATCCTGTTTATCTTACTCATCATAGTGCTGGCTGGTTCCTAGGTTAAGGAAGAAAAGGGCTCATGAAGCACTACACGAAATGGAAATTTTCTAGCTTGTTGAATTTTGTATTTGGGAGTACTTTGAACAAAATTTCTTGAAGATTAGAATACAGTTTTTGGTAGTCATACAGACTAGTTTTACTGGAACTGACTGACTTTGAGATCTGTATCGTAATTGAAGTGTTTCCTTCTCGTTAATTTGGTACTTAATTGTTTTCTTTCACAAGCACTGTCGCCAGACACAGTGACAGATTATAGACGCGAACAGGATCTCTAAACGTTTCTCAGTGGGTCTCCTCATATATGTTTCAATTTTTAGGTTCGATTGGTTCTTCTTCAGTAATGGCGCACCAGTTGTCTTCTCTCCTAACTTCTTCACCACCTCATCGTCGCGCCCGAACAGCCAATTGGAGTTACCACTTTTATGCTAACGAAGAATGGCTGGATTTGACTTTGACCCTACCGTACCAAATAGCTTTGCATGAGATTCATATCCGACCACATGTGCCCGCTTTAAACAGTTTGTTCTTCCATTATTGTTACAAACATTGTTGTTTTATTCTATGAAAGTTTAATTTATTTCAAGTTACCCGAAAAGTGAAAACTAACGCTGAAATATTTTGCCTAATTTATCGAGTTTTCGCTTTTTAGCTGGGCCATCGGCCGTTCAGGTCGAGCTCTGTTCTGATTTATCTTTCCAAACTTGGACTATTCTTGGACCCCCAATAAAAACTCTTGGCTATAATAAAATTAGAATCCCGTCATCAGCATATCCGTATCCAGTTGGTGCTGTAAGTATAATTGGAAATTCTTTCCCATCCACTTTTTTAGGACATTCAGTGGCCGAGATAGGATTTTCCACCACTTTTTTTGAATCCTAAATCTAATAGTTTCTTTTACTAATACATGCGTATCTTCAAACCTAACAAACTTGATTTTTGTGGTCTTTGTGCGCAGGTCTTGAAAAAATATTTATTTGTCTTTATCGTCTTCTATATGAATACTGAGACTAACTTATTCAGTTTCTAATTTGAATCTTAGATGTAGTGTTTAAAATCTTTATATTTTCCTTGCGAAATTCTCCTCCGTTGCTCTCTTTTTTCAAGAAACTTGTCTAAAAAGTTAAAATTTAGTATTTTTTCTGTTAAGTAATAAATAGATAAGCTTGTCTGTTATAGCGTGCAGTGTGGGCTATGAGCAAGATTAATTAGAGCAGTACTGGTATTTTGTAATAACTCTTAAATGCTTTGCTAATTAGTCTGCAACTAGTACTGCAGGAGAGTTTTTCCAGATAAATTTCGTCTTAGATTAAAAAAGAGATTTGCCCCGAGTCTTATTTTTATTAGAGGAACATGGATTTGTGGCCTTTGTGCTCATATAAATTGAGGATTGGGTATTAGTAGCATTATAAGACCGGTGTGGCATTTTCTTCAGAAGAAGAAAGCAGTTATTTAAAAAACGCACAGAAAATGAATACGATTTCAACCGATTTCCTTCGTAAGAAAAAGCTAGCTTAACAGATATAAAAGTATTTTTAAATTGATTCCAGAGGATGCCCAGGTTTTCTAGACAGCAAACATGACGATAGTCAGTTGTAAATATATTTGACACCTTTGGACAACAGATTCATTAACCGCTCAGACCTTCAAACTTTTTAATTGGGCCAAAAAAAAATCAGAATTTTTTGTACCTATTACGGACTTAAATCCTTTCCCATCCAGCTGTGACTTTAGTAAATGCATGTTGAATAATTTAATTCCAATAAAAATACACAAAGATACAATAAAAATAAAACTTCAAACAAAAGTAGAAAAAAAAACATATCTTTAAACTTTTTTAAAAAAATTTATTTTATATACAACTTTTTGTTCTACAAAATATCAAAATTTGGAGGTGACAATTTTTGATATCGAGAGTTATGAGCGAGAGGTTATTAGATTAAGGTTTTTCCCAAAACTTTGTGTTTCTGAAAAACGGCAGCACAGAATTTCAAAGAAGAAGAAATCGAGCCTAGCGAGAACTTTAACGAGTGCAGGACAGAGGAAATTCTGAGAGCGCAGAAACCACAACAAGAAGTAGAAAGCGCTGGCGTTAGGACTACCTCTTATAAATCTGCAGAATAATAATCTATTAATATTATTAAAGTACAGCTTTGATAGGAATGTTCAACGAGTAAAGTACTCGATTTGTATTGCAGCTGTCTGCAGCTTTCAAAAGCAGCTCAGGACAGTTTCATCATGTAAAATGCTGAGGATTATTGTAAAAATAGTGGGTTCTTTCAGTTTCACATTCCTTTCTGGTTCGTAACTCCCGATATCGAAAAATCGCAACCTCTAAATTTTGATGTGTTATAGAGCAAAAAATTCTACACAAAATGTCTCTTTTAAAAAATTTAAAGGCACGTTTTTTTCCTATGTTTGTTTGAAATTTTATTTTTATTGTATATTTGTGTGTTTTCCTTTAATTAAATTATTCAACATGCATTTGAAAATTCAGGACTTGATAAATATGAGGATTAAAAATTATTGAATTCCGTCAAGGACAGGCCACACTACAAGTGGGCTTTTTAAACGGCAGCCTGGCACATTTTTCAACTTCAGAGGGGGGGGTGTAAATTGGCGGGGAATCCACTTTTCCAGGTTTTTTTTAGCTTTATTTATTCTGGCCTAGACTCTACTACTCAGCAAAAAGTGAAGAAAATTCGGGAGGTCAAGGTTCAAGAGTATGCAACTTGGCATGGAATGTTCCATATATATATTTTATTTATTCATTTGGTTATTTATATCTATCAGTGCTTTCATATATCATATTTCTTTTAAAGATCCGGCTGCATTTACAACGACCCCCCGATTCTACCAATATGAGCCTTTCACAAATACTTGTTTTGGGTACCAGTTCTTCACACTTTCTTTCAATACCATCGTTACCGAACCACGATTTGTAAGTCATCTTTATATAACCCACGTTATAGAGCAGTTTTTACACTGAAGATTGATCATGCTTTTCCTCTAGTGCGAACTGGCTTCTTGTTTTGGAAGAACTATGCAAGTTGGAAAATCATTGCGTCTGGGATTACGCCCCCAACTTGCCTAGGGCCCTCGTTTCTTTATTGCTTGGCAGACCTTTAAAAAGAGGAATCAGTAGTCGTGTAGTTTCTCTCCTTGCGCGAATTGATGAGAATTGTCCGCACTCGGTGACGGTTGTACAGTTAGTAATCGAATATATAAGTAAACTTTTTTTGTTTTTTTTCAATGAATATTAAGTATTCTCATTTGTTGATTAAACTAGCCTTTCCTTCTTTATGAATAAATTGTAGTTTTTAGAA